TCAGTCTACCAAGATTTTTTAGGTCACCCTGAGTCCCACTGCAGGCAGACTTGTGCATATGAATTTCAAGAAGGTAAGCCATTTTATAAATAAGCTTATTTGATGCTAAAAAGGCATATACAATTGTTACACAGCTGTTGAGGTGATGAAGCTAAAAAATGATGTTCTTTTTTATAATAGAAAGTATGTTTTATGGAAATGGGGAATATATTATGTTTTATGGAAACAGGAAAATACTTTATCTTTTCAAGAGCAAACTTGGTCTCCTTTCAGATTCTCTTTTAACTTGACAGTCAGACTTTATTTACGTGATTAGAACTACTATCCTTTCTTCCAAATGTCTCTTGATTTCTTAAGATGCCCTGCTTCACCAGTAAATTATTTTGTATATTCATTATTCTTTGCCTGTGTTTCCTATTTATTTTCAGTTTTTAATTACATTGTGTCCCTAAGAGCTTTGTACCAGAGATTTATTCATCAGTACGAAAATTTTATCCCTCTCAACTTTATTAGACTATTTTACAAACTTAAAAACACTCTTCTTTTTAAAACATATCCATTAATAGTTTCTAGTAACTTCTTACACTTTTCCTTAAAAACTGAATGTCGTTTGTGTTTTTCTTATGACATTAGCCTTCCCGAATGACTGAAGAAAGCAATCAGACATGATGGTTATGTTTCTATTTTCTAGTCCCTGTATTTTCTGCATTTACAGATTATGTTTTGTCTGCTCAACTTTTTAATTTTTTTAGAGAGAGAGCTAGAGAGTGAGAGAGAGAGAGAGAGAGCGCACGCACGCACTCATGCACATGGAGGGGGGAGGGGCAGAGGGAGAGGGAGAGAGAATCCTAAGCAGGTTCCACCCCAACACAGGGCTTGATCTCACGACCCTGAGATCATGACCTGAGCCGAAATCAAGAGTCAGACACTCAACTGACTGAGCCACCCAGGCGCCTGGGACATGCTTTAAAGATATGTATTTGTGCCACAGTTTCCTAGAACCCCCACTGTGAGGAGGATGTCCTTATACCCATGCTCACCACCCCCTCTGGCACCACCGCTCCTGGCTTTCTGGTACCACTAAACAGGCACACGCCACCACTGTCCTACAACGAAGGTTATCATAAAAGACCCAGGAAAAGTCTCAGGTTCAGAGGCTAACCTCTGGTGCCATAACTACGTGTTCAAAAGTCCTATTATTTACATCCCTGACCCAAGGGCCTAGTAATTCATTAGTTGTTACAGGAAATGATTTCTCAGAATCATCCAGCTCTTTCACAGTAATTCTGATTTTAGCAATTCTATTATGCTGTGTTTCATCTAAGATATCCAGCTATGATCAGATCATTACCTGGCTTCTTCCTTCTGTTTCTTTTCTTTTATTATGTTAGGTTAATCACCATACATTACCTCATTAGTTTTTGATGTAGTGTTCCATGATTCATTGTTTGCGTATAACACCCACTGCTCCATTCAATACGTGCCCTCTTTAATACCCGTCACCAGGCTAACCCATCCCTCCAACCCCCTTCCCTCTAGAACCCTCAGTTAGTTTCTCAGAGTCCGTAGTCTCTCATGGTTCATCCTCCCCTCCGATTCCCCCCCGCCTTCATTTTTCCCTTCCTGCTATCTTCTTCTTGATAGTATAATGTATTATTTGTTTCAGGGGTACAGGTCTGTGATTCAACAGTCTTACACAATTCACAGCGCTCACCATAGCACATACCCTCCCCAATGTCCATCACCCAGCCACTACTGGGTATTTCCTTCTGTTTCTGATCATGAAAAGGGGGGAGAAATGCAATCTTTTCCACACTTATTTGATCATTCAGTGGGTGTGTGTTTAGTTTGCATGGAGAGGAAATGACAGTTTAAGACTGAAGGTGGAGGGATCACATTGACAAGGAGAAATGTGCCTTCATGTTTTAAAGGCTGGGAAGAAGCCAGTGGTGGCTTCTCTGTGTCTTGAGTTTACTTTTAATGATAGCCCATGAATCTCTTGTCCACCTATTTTTCTCAGGAGTCTTGGAGCTTTACGACCAAGTCATAATATCCATGGAGTAAAGAGCTGTCTTCTAAGCATCACCTGCACGGATGATTAAGATCTGTGTATGTATCTGGGCCCCAGTGGTATCAAGGGGGAATCTGACAGTAAGAGGAAAAATGGGTCCCTGATTGATTTTATTGGAAAATTTCCAAATTGGTAACCTATGTTATCCAGTTTATGCATTAGTTTAAAATAATCAAACCACTGAGTCATGCAAATATTGATCGATCCTGGTCCTTGACAAAATAATTTAAACACATCTGTGAATTATAGGTTATAGCTAATTCCTGATAAGCACAGACGAAGGTAGAAAACATTAGCTTAAATGATTAAAATTTGATAATAAACATTAAAATAAGATCTGATTTAATTATATGCTATGATGAAGAACAACCATGCAGATATAAAATAGTTACCTAATTCTGACAGTAGATAATATGAACACCTTTGAACCTAACGTGGTGAAGTTGTCCCTTTCCCTGACAGGCAGTTAGTCACTGGTCCATGAGTGAGAAAATCCCCCAAAACATTTGAGTATTAAATATAATCCATAAAGGGGCGCCTGGGTGGCTCAGTTGGTTAAGCGACTGCCTTCGGCTCAGGTCATGATCCTGGAGTCCCTGGATCGAGTCCCGCATCGGGCTCCCTACTCAGCAAGGAGCCTGCTTCTCCCTCTAACCCTCCCCCCGTCATGTACTCTCTCTCTCTCTCTCATTCTCACTCTCTCAAATAAATAAATAAATCTTTAAAAAAAAAATAATCCATAAAGAGCAGAAAAAAAGTCTTCCATCCATCCTTGCTAAGTGTCCAGCCTTAATTTAAAGATTGGACATAAAATCAACCAGTAAAATTTTATCCATGGGATTTCTGTGACTCCCAAGTGGTTCCTTTTCTTTGAGAATTAAGTGCTGGAAATACATATATATTATAGTCCCAGATAAACTAACCCATATTATCTCAAACCAGCCATAATAATTCCTTTTAGATAGCTTGTACACAGAAGAATAGGTTGCTCCATAAAACTGGCATGGAAAATTATAAAATATTGCTTATTTTTATAATCTGTGAAAAGAAGTTAAAACACCATTTTCTGAAACCCAGGTAGAGGACTCATTTTTATCACTTGCCAGAAGAAAAAGCCTCTTTCATAAAATTGAGCACCTGCCTAAATTCTAAATTCTAAATCTGTGTTTACATGGATTTAAAAACCTCAGTTAAACTGCTGGAACAGGATGGAAATCTCCTTCGACAAGACCTGGGGGGAATTAACAAAGCCGGAGCCACACACATCCCATCTTTGTCATACCTTGTCAAGTCAGCTTCCCTCTGGCTCAGTTAGAAGTTCTCAAACTTCACCTTGCATCAGATTCACCAGGGGGAGATTCAGACAATGTTGACCCCACTCCTAGAGCTTCTGATTCTGTAGATCTGCAGTGGGGCTCAGAATTTGCATTTATAACATGTTCCCAGGTGATGCTGACGCCAGGGACCCAGCAGAGAAAGACTGCTCTGGTTTGAATTCTCTAAGAAGGAATATTCTTTTTACAGGAGAGTACTTCCATATTTATGCTTCTATGCCCTGGGAGTGCTGGATATATTAACAGCCATTTAGATCATTTGTTAAAAAACGTGGCCACCGTTTGGAACCCACCACAGGGGCCACGTCTGAAGTGGGGGTGGGTGGGCTACCCTCTCTCCTAAAGGGTCTGGTCACTTCGCTCATGGCCTTCGTGCTGTGTGGCTTTCACCTGCACTACAAAGATTTTGGTTTATTTAATCCCTTGTGAGTTGGCTTTGCAGCATGTTAAGATAGCGCCCTTCTGTGTTTAGGGAAGCCGGGTTGCCTAATCTAAAACCCTGTATAGATGGTGTGAGAGGAGGCTCAAGGCAGGGGCTGTCAGGCTCTAGACAGCCTGACAGGCTCAGCCCTTGCCTGGGTTCGAAGTCCAGCTTGGATAACTCCCAGTTGTCAAAGAACTGTGAAAGGAGGGAGAAAAATGGACATGATTTATGTTCTTCCTACTTTTGCACTGGGGATGATTCATGGACTCGGGGATGAAAATCACAGAAATGGTAGACTTGGTGGTAGGAATAACAGATTCATTCAGTTATTTGGGAGCAAGTGGCTGGTGGAGCTCAGCCCAAGAATCTGAGGTTCCAGAAGCCAAGAACCACAGCTTTTCTGTATTAATTTAAAGGACAACGAGGGAGCGCAAGAATGAATTCCAGATTTTATTTATAATAGCTAACCTTTATTATGTGTTTACTAATGGCCATTTTGCAGAAAGAGAGGCAGAGAGAGACACTGACTAGTTTTGTCTTGTACCTTTAGATGAAGTCAGTTACCCATCAATCAGACGCCTCAAAATCGCTATATATTAAAAAACTCCACCTCAACTTACACTCTCATTGGAAAATGCCACCATTTTTAAGGACAACATGTATCCAAGAAGCCTAGTCCCCTTTTTTTTCCAGTATCAAAGCCAAGAGACCAGTCAACACAAGAGAAATCTTTCCAAAGAAACACAGAACCATTTGATTAATAAACTTGGAGAAAAGAAAGCATAAAACAAAAAAATAAATTTCAAAAGATTTACTCTCAAATGAAAACTAAATATCATCAAACCATAGGAAAGATTATGGATCCGTGTTTTTACTTCAAGCTATTTCTTAGGTTACTTTTTACATTTTCTTTAGTTTGCTCTTCAGAGAAACTGTATCTTTAAAACATTACAAGGAGATTTGCCAATTGGAAGGCTATACTCAAGAAAATGAGAGATAATACAATTCTTAAATAACGTTTGACCAAACCTTTAGGACACTGAGTCATGCAATGGAAAGAAGGCAAGCCCTGTGCCGAGCCTGCATGCTGAATCGCCTGATTTGGCACTCTGTACTACAGTGGGTTCTTCTTTCAGAATTAAGCGGTTCCACAAAAAGAGACTGTTCTTACCCTCATCCTTCCATTCCTTATTGCGGGCCCATCTTCTGCCAATCTCAACACGTACAAATCCATTTTGTATTCTCTTCCTCCACGAATGCTGAATCCAAATCCTTTGGCTCCTTTCTCCATGTCCACAGTGAAATAATCAAAATCCTTTAGAGTTGGGGAGAAAATGGGATAAACAGCTGTTAATATTAGAGAAGCTTCTGTGGTCAGTCTCTCTGTTCTTCTCTCTTATGGTTAATGTGTCCCCAGTGACATAACATTGTGAGAAAAAGTAATCTGATTTCACCATCTAGTAAAAGGCAAGACGAGATTCCAAAGTTTCAAGAAGATCTGAGTGCAGCTGCTTTGGTCATTAAAAAAACCACTGTGGGGGCGCCTGGGTGGCTCAGTTGGTTGAGCATCTGCCTTGGCTTCAGGTCATGATCCCAGGGTCCTGGGATCGAGTCCCATGTCGGGCTCCCTGCTCAGTGGGAGGCCTGCTTCTCCCTCCTCCCTGCTTGTGCTCTCTCTCACGATCTCTGTCTCTCTCTCAAATAAATAAAATCTTTAAAAAATAAATAAATAAAAAACTACTGTAGAGCGTGTTTACTTTGGTATTCATCCATTTACTTGGCAAACGTAATGACTGCATATAGGCCTGAGTGGTATTATCTCTCCTTTGAGTTTCCTCATTCACTGCTGTTGAGTACCATAAATAAATGTATCAGAATTGTGTTTGTGTGTGTGTGTGAATTACAGGTTTGCTCATTAGGAAACTGAAATGTAATGGGGTCTCTGAGGTACCTGGGGCTGCCTATAGTCCGCCAGAGGGTATGGCCTAGTGTCCGGGGAGTGCTGCCTGTAGTCCAGCAGGGGAGGCTGCCTGTAGTCCAAGGGTGGGGGTTGCTGGTAGTCCCCTCCCGGGGGCTGCCTGTAGTCCAGTGGCGGCTGCCTGTAGTCTGTGAACGGAGGCTGTCGGATGTCTGGTTTCACATCTTGCCTCGCTTTTACTTCTGACCTGTAACTAAATAAACGGAAATGGGATTTGCTCTGATAGCTCAGCATTCTGAGGAGATTAGAATGATCACATGACCTCTAGGCCCGTGTGGGCCACACCTCTTGGTGGTCCTTTTGAGGGTTCAGGACTTTGAGAAAACTATAGATGATAAGTATTATTTTAAAATCTTTGACAAATGCCATACCGTATACATTTCACGTGGCTCCGTAAGAAATCCAGGTAAACATGACGGCTCTACCAGGGCTTTGTGGAAAAGGACTCATGGATACCCCTCTCTGACTTTGCTTACTTAAAAACTTGTACAACTGTAGCAAATCTAGGGAGCTAAACACTTAACCATATCTCAAACTATCGGTCTGTCTCAACACCAGTGAACCAACTCTATCACCCTCTCTCTCTCCCACACACCATTCATTACTTCATGAAAGCACAACTGAAGTGACCTCTAAATACTCTATAAACATATAATTAAGCGCTATTTTAACCTGCTAGGTTGGGTCTTTTTGACTATCTTTTAAAGGTTAAAGGAATGATAGCAAAGTCTAATTATCAGCTACAAGTCAAGTAGAAAGTCACCGGGTCATTCCGAAGAGCAGAAACATATTATATAGAGTTTAAATATTAGGCTATAACTATCAGATCAGTATCAGGTGCTATTATCAGATACTATCATGGCCGTAAGACGAAAGGGAAGGCAAATATGTTTATGTCCAACATTTGTCTCTTTCTTGTTTCCAGATATTACTTACAGTAGCCCCCCACCCACCCATGGGGGTTACATGCCCAAACCGCAGATATTACCGAACGCTGTATAGACTATGTTTTTTCCTATACGTACATACCTATGATAAAGTTTAATTTATAAATTAGGCACAGTGAGAGATTATCAACAGTAATAATAACATAGAACACTTATAATAATATACTGTATTAAAGTTATGTGAGTGTGGTCTCTCTCTCTTTCAAAACACCTTCTTGTCCTGTACTCACCCTTTGTGTGATGATGTGAGCTGACAAAATGCCCGAGTGATGAGATGAAGCGAGCGTCATGACCTAGGCACTAGGATTACACTGTGCAGGGTGAGGCTAGGCTATTACTGACCTCCTGGCAATATGTCAGAAGGAGGATTATCTGCTTTCTGACCGTGGTTGACCTCAGGTAGCTGAAACCATGGAAAGCAAAACTGCAGATTAAGCGGGGGCTAGTGTACTCACAAATAAATACAGAAACCAGAGCTGTTTGTTTAGTGCTGTTCTGTGAATCCAAACTGCTCTAAGCTGAAGGGGTTCCCAGTTCCAAAAGGAGACTAACATAGCTAATGCCTGCCATTGTGGGATCATTCAGAAGGTAAACTGAAAAGTTATCCCTATAGCATAAAGGCCACTTAATTCTGTAATTCATCGTCTATTGTCACCGCCACGTCCATAAGGAGCTGCTCAGAAATCCAGGAAGATTAAAAAGAATACATTCTATCTAATGACAGTTTTATCTAAAATTAATATAGAGGGTTTGAGGAATTGAGGAAATATTTAGGACCAAGGAAGAACTCAAATGTGTCAGGAAAACAGGATCAAAACCAGTAGAATTTTTATCTTTAAAACCAGATTTTTTTTTTTTTTTTTACTGGCTTATGGTCTCACTGATGCTGATTATGACTAAATATTTTTAAAAATCACTCACCTGAACAACTGCCATTAGTGCAATCTAATATTTGATGAGGACACACTAAGAATGTCCAGCCATAGATGTATTTATTTGGGGCTTTTGGAAGGGGGTCAGTAATGTTGTTATTTCAATCAACACTTTGAGCAGGTCCCGTTTGTTACTCAACCCTGCAGATGGGACACATTCCTCTTGGGAACTGCACAATTTGGGCTTTGCTTTATACCTCAGCAAGGTGTCCACTCCCGGACTGCGAGTGTGCATGCTGAGAATGGAATTATTTAAATAGGCTTTGAATATGATGCTTAACCGCACAAATGCATGCGTCAAACAAAAGGAGCCCAACTGGCCAGCATTTGTTGGCGTGTGTTGACGCTTTCCTAGAAAATTGTTTGGTGGATCAGACGTCACTTTATTTTCACGATCCGGGTGGCAGGGGTATGCCAGAGCCGTCCCATGCCCCCTTTCCAACCAGATGCATCACGAGGTGTAGCAAAAGAGGGTGACACGTAGAGTCTCCCCAAAGACTCCGCAACAGCCCCAAATAGGACCTGTTAAGATGCAACAGCTGTTAGCCATGCCGGCCTCCTGGTGCTCCCCCTGCATTTGACCCCAGGGCCGAGGCTCAGGATTTTACGTTGAATTGCACATTGAAGAGTCTTTAATAAGGAAGATATACTTAATTTTTTATGAACGTTACTAACTTTTAAGTGAACGATACCCTGGCTTGGGCAAAAATTATGTGGCCTTGAACGTGTGAAACACTATTTTCAGGAAAACTCAGGATTATTAAGAAAAAAATATAGCCTCTTTAAACTTCCTTTACTCATGAAAGAAGGTCATCGGTGTAACTCTTTGTAGTTATTAATTCCATTATTAAAGAGATTTTAGAGATAATAAAACCAGATTTCTAGTGGTAAATTCTAGCAGAATTTTAAGGTATGAGCAAGTTCCAGAACCAGGAAACACTGCCCGTGGTAGGGAATCTTGTGGTGGGATTTTGCCTCATGTGGGCCTTTTAAGAATTCCATCCAGCCTTAAGCATCTAGGGTTTGAAGTCTGTGCAAGAAGTCAGTTTCCAATGCCCTTCCACTGACCTTGCCGTGTAAAACGCTGCCAGATATTAATTGCCCTTGCCCGGGAAGGTGAACTCTGTTATTTATACTTTGTTTTGAAATATATTACATAGTACCTCTTTCATTGTTTTCAACAAATGCTTCTCCTGTTTTGCTCATGTCCATATTAAAACTGTTTTGTTTCCTGAGCATATACCAAAAGGATGTTAAGGGACAGATAAATAAGGAGAGGTGGGCAGGGTGTCGGTAGGAAGGCAAACTGAGAGTAAATAAGATGGGCTGAAATATTCAGTCATCCTAAATTATAAGACAAAAATTTGCAAGCAGATTGCCATTTAATTTTCTCCCACCTTCCCGGGGAACCTGGCTTGATTTGACATGGAGGTAGGGGGGCACTTCCCGTACAAATGAACTAATAGGAGACGCATCCCGGATGCTTGGCATACAAGCTATCTTGGAGACATCTCCAGCCCGATCTAGAGAAAGGCAAAGAGCTCCTGATACCCTGACCATCTTTAAATGCAGCTAGGAACATGATTCTGGGATCTGTAAGATGATCAATCTCTTCATTCATAGGTAAACGAGCCACCTGCTAAACAATCCACAGTGAAGCCAGGAAACCAGGGTGTCAAGAAAGGTCCCTCTAGGAGTCGGCACTTTCCAGGCTTTTAATATTAGTGAAGCAACAATAGCTAAGAACTCTGGGAAAATTCGTTGCCGATTTATAAAAATTTGAATCAGGTCAATCTGTTAATCCCAGATTAGGAAACATTTTATGCTGTAGTCAGGACAAAAAATATTCCGAAGACTGTTGCTTCTCTGCTAGGGGCCAACGAGTCCCACTTGTGAGCTAGTAGCAGCTGGGGAACAATCGTGACCTCGCCCAAGTGTTATTCTCCCCACTGAACCGTACCACCCCAAAGCCAGAAGCAAGAGCCCATGTCCAGGGGAGTCTGACTCTGGAAAAGTGAGATGGAATTGTGGCTGGGAGATTAACAGACAGTGGCAGAGCCATCAGAAGAGTCTGAAGCTGGTTCAGAGACAGCGGGCACTCAGCCCCTTCCTCCTGAGTCTGAAGGGGGTCCCGGGGAAAGCCTGCACAATCTGCTGAAACAGCACACAGTGAAAGCGAACACATCGGTGGCTTATTACTGAGGCACCCAGGACTTAACTCCTTTACAGGTGGTCAAATTCTTACCTCCCTATCATTTGCTTTATGTTCTTAAGTCTTTTTCCTTCCCTGAAATAGATGAAACCCATACGCAGCTGAGGACAACAGACATTTCCCTTCCCGTGAAAGCAAAGGGGGGAGCTCCGAGTAGAGAGAGCAGGGCTTTCTGGAAATAACACCTGTGGCAGAGGGAAAATATTTGCTTTGCAACTGCGTGAGTGATGAACCCACAGAGTTCTGGGACTTGGAAATTGGGTCTCACTTCATCTTCACCAACACGGGAGGCAGGAGCTGGGAAGCAGATGTTCAGAAAACATTAGAATTATGGAAAAGACCAGTGAGGGTTTTATACACGGAGATGTTCCTGTGGGTTGTTCTGTTTTTCTCCTCTGAGAGAGGGGACACAGCATGGGAACGTGTCTTTATCTCTTTCTTTAATGGCTCAACCTAACCCAGGTTCCCTGTCACACACGAGTCGCAATAAGAAGACAGTGCTGTTCTTATAGGGCATCCTTTTCTCCTGGAAGTTCGAAGTGCCTTATTTACGTTAGTTCATGATGTGGAATGGAAGAACCTCATGAGATCATGGTAGGAGGATATAAGGCAAAATGCAGTAAAAAATGCTAACGTTTATTAATGCTTACAAGTCTGTCCACACTTGCCCCTCTCCATACCAGCATTATTCTCTGAGCCACCACCGTCATTGATCCCAGGACATCGGCAGCCATTTCTAACTGCTGAATAACCTACATCCACCCTGACCAGCCTACAGTCAGCTCTCCGGGTGGCCAACTGAGAGGCCTTGGAAAGCAAATCCAGTGATGTCACTCTTCAGCATAAAACCCATTCCAATGACTTCTCACCACACTTAAGATCGAAATTTTTGACATGCTTACAAGACCCTGTAGATGGGCCCCTAGCACTCTCAAGGGCTTCATCTCAAACCATGTTCCCTGACCTCTTTCCTCACTACGTTGACCTTTGGCACACTCCTTCCTGCCAAAGGGCCTTTGTCTATGTTCTTCACTTGGGACTCTCTTCAATGTGCTCTTCAGCTTAGTTAGCCCTGACTGATTGATAATTGCTCGTCACTTCTTCAGGAGAGGTTCTCTTAATGTGAAGAACGGATACTTGTATTTGCTAATAAAATCACACTTGTGACTCACATACAATCTCAAAATCACAGAAAAGCGCACATAGCGATTTCTACTTTATGGAACTTTCTCTTCTGCCTGTGTCCTGTCCTGTCCCAAACTCTCCTTCTCCCCACCCCCCTCACTTCTCCGAGTCAGAAAAGCCAGGGGAAACTTTACCTATTTTCATGTCCTTGTGGCTGAAGTGGCTGAGGAGGAGCTGGTTGGGCAACAGGACTGTTGGGGGTGGCCGGGCTTGGCTGGGCCAGAGGACTCTGCTGGGCCATCGGGCTCTGCTTCTCTGAGCTGGGCGCCGAGGCTGGGCTGTTGAGCTCTGCAAAGGGGAGCCAAAGTGGCAAATGAAGTCAGGTTGGCATCTGATAAAGGGCAAGAGGTGGCCAGAGGTGGTAACTCTTTGCTGCCTCAGAGGACTCAAGGCTTTGGTCATTTCAGTTTCCATTAGACTTTAAGATGGCAGGTTAAACTTATCAATTATCCAATCAAGTTCCAGTACCATTCCCAGAATTAGTATTATGTCATTAGTTATAAGTGTTGCCGAACAAGGTTATAAACAGAGTCTCCTGTCATTTTGTCTGGAGAAAAGATTACGATTTAAAAAAAAACCTGTTAAAACAATGAAAAAATAATCCAAAGGAGTTAGCTTTAAAACATATTCCATTTTTCCAGTGTTGCCCACTGACAGAAAACATTTAAGCCACTACTTTTTGGTTGTAACGACAAGTCCTACTGGTATTCCAAAGTTTGGATAAGGAACTAAATATAACCGAAATAAATGCTTTTCACAATCTTCTCTCTAGTTCCTTGTTAGTCTTATTGTTTAATAACCCCCTGAACTCCATGGTTCTTCAGAAAAAAAAAGAACATCGGACAGAAGAATGTTCATAAAGTTGTTCTTTGTTAAAACAGCTTCTCGGATTTTCCTGTAATAGCATCACATGTTCAACTGAAATTATCTGTGTATGATGTGATAGAAACAGGACAGACATATTTCAGCCTGGAGAAAATGGAAAAGCGAGTCAGATTTTTAGTGAGCAATCTTGCTTAGAGTTAATTTCTATCGAATATTTTAGACATAATGGTGTCTGCAAATAACAGGTTTTGTTCTGTTCTTTTTATTTGGTTGGGTGATCAAAGGGAGGCAATCTATTCCTTTACAAGCCACTCTTCCCCTTTCTTCTCTGACAGCCCAAATTTTAAAATTTCTTTTCCCCTGGAAGTGTTTCTCAACCTCAGCACTGTTGACATTTTGGGCCAACCCATCCCTCTCCATGTGGGATGCTGCGATCCACTCACCAGTGAGCTCCAGGGACTGCGTTCTGGAACGTCATTAGTGAGTCAACAGCTACAAACCAGTAATGAACCCACTGTGTTTGGAAACGGTGACTTTATGGTGAATGGGTACTTAGATCCTTGTGGCCCTCAAGTCATGGCTGTGAGTTGTGATGCTCACTACTCTTCAAGCCTCAGGGGGGAGTCCTTATACAGAGAAATTCAAAAGACTAAGTGGGAATTTAAAATTCTTATCAGATGCAACGTTTTCTAAATGAGCTCTCTTTATACCACAAAACTTCCTCAAGCTTTTCAAAAATCAATCTGACTTTGAAGAATCCTCCAGAGTTTAACTGTTAACATGAATACTTTTCTTTTTTCTTTTTCAGATTTGTGACTCTATCATCTCTGTTAAATGGGTTCTGGCTTAATATCATCAAAAAAACAGTACTCCCGGGACCACAGGGGATGATTTGAATAACCCAGTGTCTTGGGATTCACACTATTTATCTATAATGTCACACAGCGTGATCCCTGAATGCAACTGGTACTGAGTAAATGGGATCTGCATTTTTGCAAATGTGGAAATAAGAATCCACTTTGGCCACTCTGGCACTCCATGGATGGCAGCCTGGCTCAGGCACTCACCCTCCTGAGGAATGATGCGGAGGGTGACACTGAGACCTGCGTCCTTGATGAGCTTCACGATGTCTGCATGAGGCATGTTGATGATGGACTGGCCGTTCACTGCCAAGATCCGGTCTCCCACTTTCAGTTTTGCACAACGATCTGCGGGACTCCCATCGATGATGCGTCCGATTTTATGGGGCACAGCTAGAACAATCCCCAACAGAATCAGATATCAGGGGTGTTCCCAACACATCTTCTATCTTTGAGTCCCAGCCCCACAGGAAACAATGCGATGGCATAAATCTTCCTTTCATCAGTAAATCTGCCTTTTGAAATCATAGTCACACCTATGAAAGGGGGTCCTGTGAGGTCAGAATTTCTAAATTCAGGCCCTGTGCGGTGGAACTGGATGGACCAACTCCAAATACATGGACCAGGGGTTCTCACCCTTCCAAGCATCATAATCACCCGAGGATTAAATGTACAGCTCTCTGGGCCTTACCCCAGCCTTGTCCATCAGAATGTCTAGGCAGCAGGTGAGAATCATGAATTTTTAAGAAGCTCCTCAAGACATTTCAAGACATACAAAATTTTGAGAACTGCAGGCATAAACTATTGTGAGCTCATACCATAGAGACAATAATCCACAGTTTCAGAAAGATACGATAAATGCCAAGAATTTAATTTCTACCCTTTTCCATTTTACTGAGAGAAGAAAACAGGGAAGGAAAGAAATCTGTATTAACATGGCTGGCAGCTGGTCAAGAAGCTATGCTCAATCTCCCATCAGTTACTAAGTTTCAGTTTCAAGTTGATGCAATTTTCAAATCTTACCTCTTCTTTCTGATTTACTTTATTAAGTGGTGCTGAGATCTTGCTGATGCCTGATGCATAATATATTTCATCAAATCTAAGACGCCATTACGACCTACTTTTGTTTTAGGGAAAGAAAGGAAAGAAAAAGAAAGAAAGAAAGAAAGAAAGAAAGAAAGAAAGAAAGAAAGAAAGAAATGAAGGAAGGAAGGAAGAAAGAAAGAAAGAAGGAAAGAAAAGGAAGAAAGAAACAAAGAAAGGAAAGATCAAAGAAGAAGAAAGAAAGAAACAAAGGAAAGATGAAAGAAGAAGAAAGAAAGAAAGAAAGAAAGAAAAAAAGTACTCAACTCTTCTGATTAAACAATGACACCCCATGGACTGTAAGAGGCTGTATAATTTTTTAGATATTAAAATAAGAAAATGTGCATTGGATTGATCAAATAGGGTATATGTCTCTTTAAAACAATGAAAACTTATTTTCTTTTTTGTTATTTATTTATATATGTAGGGACAGCCAGGTACATGAGGATAAAGATTTTTTAGCAGGTTGACTTCTGTTCACTGTAAATGTGTGAATGCCTGTAAGGATAACTATTTCTGGAGTCGGTATCAATGGCACACAGAGTCCTTTAACGGCCCTCCTGCCCCAAGGAGTTTACAATCTAGAAACCTGTTCCTTCTCCTTTCTCCCTTCTAGACAGGGAGCCGCAGCCAGGAAATCACCTGTCAGTGACTCTGCATTGTTGCTCTCCCTGTGGACGTCAGCTACCGATTTATCCGCGTAAAGAGACAGAGACACTCCACCATTTGTTATGCTCCAGGAATGTCTGTTCCCTGAACTCTCAATCTTATGTATGTGTTAGCGAAAGGCAGAACATCAGCTAATAACCACGGTAAGGAAGGACAATCAGTGAGTCAATGAACCAGCACCTTGAACCTATTTCCATTGTGAAAGGTTATAGATAGCATATGAAAATATTGGCTGAGCCCGTGTTTCTGAAGTCAAACACATCATGTTGGAAGCTCAAACACCTTTTTATCTACCACACGCAATGGCTTTAATCGAGAACACCTTACTTAAAGCATACTAAAGATCATCTTAGGCTCTCGGGACAAGGTACTTCTCAAGCAGAAATGTAATAAGAACTCATTCATTTAACTTATTTTAAAAAATAAGGTATTGCAAGTTGCTTGGTCTTCTACCATAATGAGAGTGAACATTCGTTCCTGTTTTTGCCCCCTTTCAGTTCAGTACTGCCCTGAACCATCAACACATGACACGGTCTCCCTGGTTTCACACGTGTCTATTGCTATGTTTCATGTGATCCTTGGAAAGTTACCTGACCTCTCTGAGTTTGTTTTTCAATAGGAAAATTGGAATAATAATATCACTGACTTCACAGGATGGTTCCGAGAATCAAATGAGTTGTCCTATGTAAAGTGACTAGGACAGTGCCTGGTGTAAGAATTGATCTGTAAGTTTTCACTTTTCTTTCATTCTTTTTATGACTATTATCTTTTTTAATGGTTCTGATATCACTACTGATGTGTGTGTGTGTGCTTGTGTGTAGGTCCCAGCTTGAATTCTTCCTATGTGGCATAAACCCGTCATACTGCTAAAACTGAAGAAATGGTTTGCTTATGATACAACAGTATCTCCTAAGTATCATCCCAGGAAAACAGCTTCATTTGGGAAAGAGAGATGTGTGTGTGGGGGATTATATATAGATGTTAGATGAAGGCAAGCGTCCTGTTTGTTTTTCTCTGGTTTTCCAAAAAAGATGTTGCAGGTCTCTGCAGGAAAACACCAGTTTATAAGTAAGAGTTTATTATTCAAAGGGAAATCAGTATAATACAGATGCTCTCATTATCTGCCTCGCGCCTTACATGCGCGCACACACACAATTATAACCACATTAATATATATATAATTTTATCCTTAACAGATCATGTGAGATACCCGACGACATTACTACCACATGTTCAGAGTGGAAGAAACTGAGGTATAGTCATTAGCAATTTGCCCAAGGTCACAAAGTCCATCCACGATTTAGAATCCCTGTCTGTCAGATTCCATAGGCTTTGCTCTTTCTTAACCACTGCACCACACCGCGTCTCTTGACTTTGTGGTCTCTTCTCCCCATGCAAGCACTTGCTTCATGAGCACCCAGTGCTTGTGTTTGGTGAGTGCAGCCTGCCTCTAAGCAGGGAGGCACAAACACTTCACCAGTGGCCCTCATCCAGGGGAGAGTGGGAGGCAGAAACTTTGCTTGAAGCTGGTTCTTTGTGGCCACTGTCTTTTGATGGGCAGGGCATGAGGAGGAAGGGAGAGGGGAAGAGAGGAAGGGAGAGGAAACTGGACAGCTCCTCAGATCCCTTTTACTTGGGACTTCGCATCATGGTGTCATTCCTTTATTTGAAGTCATTTCTTTGGGCATTAGAAATACATTTGAAATGAAATTTAAAAGTACACTTTAAAACACATACAGCTGGTATTTGGATGATTTGCTGTTTTGAATTATCCATGCCTCTAATCCCCTCCATTACAGAGGATCATTTAGAATCTACTGGGTATAAAACCCCAAATGTTTCAAAATATAGATTTCACACACACACACACACACACACACACACACACACACACACACAATTTTATGAGCTCAACAGCAATAAAAACAAAAACAGTAAGTTATCATTTGTTAATTTCCAGGCACTGTGCTAAGCACTTACTTTAAATCCTTACAGCCACAGTGTGAAGTAGCTATAAAAGTATAATAATCATGTTCATTTTATTGTTAAGAAAACAAAGAAGTGTCAAAGCCAGAATTCAAACCTATGCATATAGCTTGAATCCTTCAGGTTATTCCCTCCTTTTTTTGATACATGCCAGGTTGGAAGCAATTTGAATTATGAGGACTGCGGGAATGGCTGGTAAGATTTAGCTTAGGAAAGTGTGCTACTTGAGATTTTGAGATGAAAGTTTCATTGTAAACAGATTGATTTGCTTATAATGATAACTCTTGGGTTCAAGGCCACTTTCACTTCACCATGGCAGGTAGAATAAAAACTAAACTAAAATAATAAAAACTAAAATGAAATAAGGAAAACTGAAATCAATCTTATGGTAGCCACTTAGAATGATTGAGTGGTTTACATAAAATTTGAGTGAGTTCACAACTTAAAAAGGCCTGCCCATAATTGCAAGTATCTGACATAGTTTTGTTAAAATTGTTTTCTTTTGGCATTTACTTTAGTAAAAACAGTGCTTGAAACTCCTGGCAGCTGAAGACAGCTTCACTTTTCCTTTACCAGCATTTTCCCTACACATGTAAGGACACTGAACGTTCATGTACAACAAATCATTGACAAGGGGTGTGCTCACAGAGGATTCTCTCTGAAAACAAGATGCAGTTCCATTTGCTCAGTTATCAGGTCTACAGAACTTATGACCCAAGTGCTTTCTGTGCATTGCTAATGGAATTACAGAGCATGGAAGAGGCCCTGACCTTCGTTTCTATTATTGGGATGAATGGTACTCGTTAATTCTCTCAGAATTGATGACTAAGGGAACTGCCGGAGCACAGTCCATTTAGACAGCATGCCTTCCAGACATCATCCGTCAGGCAGCAACATAAATCAAGCCTTTGGACCAGTCTTCTTGACACAGTGTGCTTAGGATACACAGATATTTGGGAAAAGTTGCAATATGTCATGCAGCTTTGAACATACTGACATTTGGGAAAGAGACAATGTATCATTACTTAGGAATTTCCCCTTTAACTGCAATCACATAAATTATGGGAAAAGAAACCCATTTTTTTTTCTTTATTTCTTTGTGGGTAAAAACTATGCCACATTTATATTTTATATTATAAAATTTTATATTTTCAATTTCATTTTTTCCTGTAGATGAACTAACTCTTTGGCACTGCTCAACCATAGCACCCTTGTTTTAGTGGGGCTGTTCAGAGACAGTTGGACTGGATGCTAGGTTTGTTCTAAAGGTCTGGAATCTCTGGGTCTTTGGCCACACTACTACAGGATGTAATGATCCTCCCTTTTGGCTATTGGTTCTCTTCTGGGACCTTTGTATGGTTTATCCAGGCTCCTTCAGCCATTGGTTAACCAATGAGCTCTTCTTGAGTTCTACCTTGGGTTCATTCCCATAAAGAAGATGAGACTATTGCCTGGATGACTTTTCTTGCTTTGGCAATAGATTCTTTCTGAAATTTTTTGTGATGGATTCTTCCTGAAATTCTCAGCTGCATCTGTGGGAAGGACCCCCACACTTTTTTTCCCCCATGTTTCTTTGTTGTTTTTTATGTATTTTATTTCAGAGAAGGAAAACGTGTGACTCATGTTTATTCATGTTTACACGTAATTACTTCCTT